GGAAAGGAACTCTACCGTGGCTTTGGAAGTGGTTTCTTAGAACGGGGCAAGGAGTTCGTGCGCCAAGTTGGCTTCTCCAAGCGCGCGTGGCTTCGTATGGCCTGAAGACATCAAGGTCGATGTACTTGGTCAACACCTTGCTGGAACGGCAGAGAGGTATTACCGCCGACAGGTGGAGACTTGGTAGTCTGAGAGTCAAACCTTGGTGCATGCAATGCAAAGGTTGCTCCAGACCTTCAACATCAAGATAACACCTGCCCAGATCATGAAGCTGTTTACTGCAGCCAAGTCATCGCATCGAAATGGGACGGAACAGTTTTTGTATCTCACACAGGGTCGACTACTTGCGACAAGCTGAAGAACTGGAACAGTTCGCACAATCGACGGGGATCGACGTCCGTATCAAGCTGTTCGGCCGTGCTGTTGTGAACGTTGTGGATACGACCAAGGAGGTCACGAAAGTTTAGCCATTAAAAAATGTCTTGAGGACCAAGACCTCAAAAGATGTTACGGCAGTAGAAACAAGGTACACCTCAAGGAATCCTGTATGAGAAGACCAAAGAAAAGACAAGATGCGGATTTCGTCCTCACATTCCATGATGCGGACGGAGATCAGACCCAAGGAACCGCCAACTGGGTGCTGGAAAGTTTGTAGGGGCGTCATTTGGTCAATGACTTGAGCCTGATGGAGGACGTGGTTGACTACAATCACGATTGCATACCGCAGCGTCTGACGGAGGACCTCTTCGGATCACGAAACAAGGCAGTGCTATGATCCGGGTCAAAGCAATCGTTATCATTAAGACCATCCGACTTCTCGATGTTCAATACGCCTCCAACTTGGGGCGTAACATCATATCCTTCGGAAAGTTGAGGAATGAGTGATGCGTGATTGAATATCGTGAAGGGAGGCGTATTTTGGTCTCCCATTCCGGTGTTTCACCTATCATGGATGTCGATCGCATCAACGATGTGTTGATTGTGAAGGTTTACGACGACATTCGACGAGCGCTTCTCGTGTTTATGGATCACCACGGGAGGCGGCCATGTCGATTGTGAATGATGATGGAGATGGAAATAAGACGAACGTTCAACATGGAAGCTTGCACAGTGCCATCGGATTTTGGTTCACCTGTGCTACTGCACAATTGTCAAGATGGCCCGTGACCCTGCCCCTGGTATCAAACTTTCAGATACTAAGCGTGTTTATTGCTTGGCCTGTGCAAAAGGCAAGCAGACAAAGAACCTGCAATCTCGCAGATACATTAGTACCAATTCGCCAATCGACGTGATAGGAGGATTCGTTTGCTCTGATATCAAATTTCCTATGACTCCTCGCAATCGGCTTGGAAACAGATACCTGTTCAACTTTGTCGATCATCGGTGCAACTATTGCCGGTTTTTCTTGGCGAAAACTAAAGACGTTGCCGCGATTAATTATAAGCATTTCCTGTCGGGTTTCAAGCGACGTTTCAATTGCCGGATCCACGTCTTACGCACGGATGGAGGAGGCGAATACAAGCCTCTGTATGTGTTCTTCAAAGACACTGGTGTAGCTTTCCAAATTAGCGAGCATGATAATTGCTCAAGCAATGGCAAATCCGAAAGGATGCACCGCACGTTTATGAACATGGTGCGCAGCATGGTGTTTGCAAGCGGACTACCTTTTAAGTTTTGGGGTGCTGCTGCTGAGTATGCAGCTACGTACTTAACCAAACCCCGACTAAGGCGGATGAGGATGGGGTCTCACCGATTGAACTACTCACCATGAAGAAGCCCAACCTCAGCTAAATCGTGGTGTTTGGATCGACGTGCACAGCTAACTTGCACCCAGACAACAAATCGTTGGGTGCACGTGGAAAGGCGGCAATCATCATCGGAAAGAAAGATGAGACGAAGGGATACCGTGTCTACCTGCAAAAGAAGCGCGTTGTTGTGGTCACGCACCATGTGAGGAACATTGGGAATCTGAACACCATACAAGATGGCAGAGCACTAGAAGTTCACGATGATGCTGAAGGTCTAGAGGAGTCACAAATAATCACGACGAACGTCAAGCAACGAGTCGTTCATCCTGGTGGATGCGTGATCGACACGTGACAAGATCCATTGGCAAGAAATTGGATGAGTCGAATGATGAAATCAAAGGCGAAGAAGATCAAGATATTGTCAGCATCGTGACCGAGCCAGATCCAAGGAACTACGGTGAGGCTGTGCGAATTGAATCAAAAGACAAGTGGCGCGTTAGCGATGACTGAAGAACTGGCTTCTCTGGAATCAAATGGAGTGTGGACGGTGGTGGTACCGCCCGAAAATGCACACGTTCAACATAACTAGTAGTTGTTCAAGACGAAAACCGACGCCGATGGAAATGTGGAGGGGTACAAGGCTAGACTGGTGGTATTCGGAAATGAACAGCTATTCGGGATCGAATACACACTGACTTTTGCTGCAGCCATGGAGCTTGGCACCGTAAAGGTCATCTTGGTACTGTCGCGTCGATGGAACGTACCAGCGCGCCATGGTGAAGTCCCGAAAGCCTACGTCAAGGCAGATAAGGAAAAGGATCTTGATATTTACATGAAGGTGCCTAGCGGGATGCAAGTGAGCCAAGGCTTTTTGGACGAACACGGCGTCAAGCGCCCACAACACCTTGCCTTGCTTTTGAAGAAGTCCCTATACGGGTTGAAGCAAGCTGGACGTTTGTGGAGTCAACTGTTGCATTCGAAGTTAGTTGAACTCGGTTTCAGCCAGTGTACGAAGGACATTTGCCGATACGTCAAGAAGATCAACGAGTTCATAACGATCGTTGGGGTATACGTCGACGACCTTTTGGTCACAGGAACTTCAAGTAAAGCTGCGGAGTAGTTTTTAAGAGCATGGTGTGCCTCGAGATCAAGGGTCTAGTCGTCATCAACGAGTTTCTGGGGTTTAGAATTATGTGACAAGTGTGGTTACACGCTAGACCAAGAGGTGATGATAGACGTGCTGCTAAAGAATCATGGACTGGAGTCGGCGAATGGTGTTCGAGCTCCTATTGATGAAGACTGAAACGAAGTAGACCCTGAAGCTACAGACACGTTGGTTACGTCAGCTGGGTTTCGACATTCGATCATCAAGGCATTCCATTCGCTGGTCGTAAGCCTACTTTGGATTGCACGCTGCACACGACCAAACATCAGCTTTGCGGTACATCGTGCGACAGGGGAGACACCAAACCCAAACGTGAAGGATTGAAAGATGAACAAACGCATTGCAAGATATCTGAAGGGAACAAAGACGTTAAAGTTGCTTATTAACAGTTCAGGCAAGTCAATGGACCCGATCAAGATCGAGAGCTGGAGTGACGCGGAATTTGCAGCAGACAAGTCGGACCGCAAGGCGGTCTCAAAATGCGTGCTGACGATGATTGGAGCAGTGGTGTCATGGGCGTGCAAGAAGCAGATTGGCGTCTCCCTGAGCACCATGGAAGCTGAGTTCATCGCGTCGTCGCAGGCAGGACGTGAACTACTAGGGCTAAAGGAACTATTCGGTGAGCTGGACATGACGGTCGTTGATCCCATGCCGATAAGGATGGATAACCAAGCCGCGATCAAGCAACTAGACAGCGAGAAGAGTACGTCAAGCGCTAAGCACATTGACATTCTATTTAAATTTATGTGCCACTACGCTCAAGCCAAGATAGTCAAGCTAAGTTATGTTAAGTCTGGAGACATGATTACAGACCTATTGACGAAGGCACTGCCAGCGCCGCGAATTGAATACTTCCGCAAGATGTTTAAGTTGAAGGCCATTCAGGATGACGTCTAGGAGTAGTGTTAAAATATAATTTTTTTTGGTAAGTCAAGAAGGTTGTGCAGGTCAAGTCCAAGACCTGGTACAGGTAAGTGCGACCTCACCTGATTGGCTTATGATGTGACAGAATGACAGATGGGACGGGAGAGACGGGCGCCGTGTGACAGGATGTCACATGGGACAGGGAGAGACGGTCACCACATGAGACTTGACATGGTAAATTGTAGTTTCCGTCTCTGGTCATACATATCGTAGTGTTGTAGGAAGCAAGTTCTTAACCCACAATATATTCACTTTTACTTCCACCTACTTTGCACCAAGTGCACTACTACACTCTTACATTTACGGCAGCGACCGATGATACGAGGACGCGTTTACTTCCTCATATCTCGCGTCTGCGCCCGCAACAGAACTCTCTCCGCGGCTTCCTAAACAGGGCGGGGGTTGGTCGCGGCCGTGAAAGGGAAAGCAAAAATGAAAAAGAACATTTGATTTTATATATGCCAAATTAACTGGATAATACTAGGACGTGGGGCATTTTTTATTTTTCAATTATCTAATACAATTATCTAATAAATTTTTTATTTTCGTAATTACATGGGGCATTTTAATTATTTTCCCGTTACTAATATCAAAATACAAACATGTACTCTACCGATCTGCCCGTCATTCTTTGTATGTCTGTTAATGATAAGTGGAAAAGCAGGTTGATATTCGGGCCGATCTCTGGCGATGTGCAGTGTCATCATCAACCGGTTGCCGATGGATCTGACCTGCTAAGGTAACGCGGCGGGACCATTTTCACATTTCTTCCCGGATATTATTCACATTGATATTCTTCTACTGTCAACTTTATGTAACAGCTTTACCCTTAACATAAACTGCTCGGATACCGTTTGTGTCTCCTGAACAAATTTCAGCTGCGCTCCTTCTGACGACGGCGTTACATAGACGATCCAAATACCTCTTTCTGATTTTGATTAGCACCGATCAAAGAGTTTGCATCTAGCTTTACATTGTGGCAGCCTGGTCCAGCCGACTCTCTCCGGCATGTATTACGCACGTGTGTGCAAGGGGTCGGCTCGTGTGACACGATTTAGGACCCATCGATTCTTGCCTCGACTGCAGTACCAAATTTGCTCGGTGTGCAACAGCACTTGTTCGACCTCGTTCTCCTCGCGTTGGCCCTGCGACTGACTACCTCAATGGCCAAGTGCTACTTTCTCCTCGTGGTTGCGCTCGTCGTGATTGCCGGCGAAAGTCCTCTACGAGCTCGTGCGTACAGCACGGTGTATCGAGCCGCTTCATCCGACACCGGCCAATTGTCCGGATTGGACGGGGAGGGCAGATGGGGAACCGATGCTGCTGGTGAAGAAAGACTTGCGGAGTGGGCTTCGTCATTGATGGAACGGGTTGGCGCCTTGATCAAGAGGATGCGTGGTCGGACTGGTCCCAACGGGAAGCGCACTGGTTGGGTCGATCGAATAAGGGCATGGATGAAGGGTGATGAGGTCTTGAGTGAGACGGTGTCTGCCCGGGCGAAGAATGTCGAGGCTGCCGAGGGGAAGGATCTGGAGGCACTCCAGAGAAAAGATCCAGAGCCTGTTCGAGGAAAGGATCTGGAGACTAAACGGGCGGAGCAGTCTCCAGACTCGACACGTCCCCCGAAATGGGAGGATGGCCAGACCGCGTTCGAGGCTTTCTATGGTACGAAAGAGGCTTCTTGGAAGATGGCATTAGCATGGAAGGGGGAGGAAGAACGTGTTTGGGAGAAGAAAGCAAAAGCCTGGGAGGAGGATCTGCTTTCCTGGAAATTTTCTGGCTTACGTGAGGGGAACCAAGGAGCTGCCGGATTAGATAGGGGTGGTATTTCGGAGATGAAGAAAGTTCATGGTTGGGATGAAAGGGTGAAAGACAAATGGAATGAGGTAGCCGCCTGGTATCAACAAACAGCAGCGTGGGAGGTACGACACAAGTTTTTGACGAAGATGGTGGCACATGAAGAGCTTCGGGTATACAAGCATGATATTGCGGCGTGTTTACCCGAGCTTGAGGAGATGAACGAGAAGGGCCTTACCTTGGACGAATACGAAAAAAAGCTGGAGTTGGACCCGAAGCTTGTCGAAGAGCTAAGAGCCAAGGCGAGGACCTTAGCTGAGGCTTACAAATATGAGTTGGGCTACAGGAAATACGTCTACTACCAGATGTTACATACGAACGGGCTGCGATGGCTTCATGGCTTTGTTGCTGACTTGAGACATGTGTGAGGGGTAGGCAGTGGCCTACCGTCAGGAGTCAAGGGACGACAAGCACCGTAGCCTAGTGAGAGATAGATAGCTTCGTACGACTCGCGACGTTGCAACTGAGAGCGTTTTGTCGTGTTCATGTAGCCTATGAGTTTGGCTACGATTGTGTACAGGTAGGCAATGGCTCGACGCCGAGATATTTCAATCCCAATCGTAGAGTGAAGCTATCTGATGCGATTAGTAAAGTGGTACATTCTCGTGGCGACGGGTAGTGTATTCAAAGACCATTAAAGATACCAAGTGCACATGAACAGAATCGAACACTTTACCGGAAAAACGCAACCGTTTGCGGGCTAAATGAAGAAGCCTGTCCAAACGACATGATACAAGAAACTAAGTTGCCGTTCGCAGCTGCGTGGATGTACGATTTTGCGCGTGGTATCAGACGCCAGGTCATATTCGTGCAGCATGCGTAGCGATCCAGCGTTGCCCTGAGCATTGATCAGTTCGTAGCCACTGAGTAGCCGTGGTGCGAGACGTTTGCAGGCATCGATCTCGTAGCACGGTTGCCCTGCGGCACTTAACTCCACGAAAGACCACGCTCTAATCCTTCGGTCGTGAACTAATACATTAAACTTGTCATTTGTCACAAACATCGTCGCGGCTTGAACGACAATCAGGTTTCGATCTTTTTACAGCATGTTGCAATGCGACTGATAGGCAAAGAAAGATGACGTAGTCGTGGTCGACTTTCTGCGTCTAGCGTTATGGAGCACATGCTTTTACACCAGACAACAAGGGCATGCAGTGGGTCACTTATTTGTAATACGTGACTTGCATCATTACAGAAGTGACGACCACGTCTCCATACGGACGCCTAGTGCGCGGGTGCAGTTGCCGGAAACTGTTGGTAATTATAACTACGCCAGGGAATCTCTGTCGCTACGATGCCGACCTGACCCTCTTTTGACGCCAAGTGTAGCGGTCGCACAGATATGCAGAGTGCAAGCTTTTTACCGCGTACTATAGGGATCGAGAAGGAGCGTGTTCGGGGAGTTGCAGTATCAGTTATATCCGCTTCGTTGCGACACTCGTTGTCGCATTCGACTGGTGGGTCACATTTGCTGAGCTGAGTCAGCTACGATGCGGATGTTACACGCAGAAGTACGTTGGAAGCGAACGTACTTTGTTGATAAACTCAGCTTTTCAAATTACAGTACAACGCTCCGAAGAGATGTGGCAAGTACGTGACCAATAACAGTCCTTATAGGTAGCGTGAAATATGTGCTATACTTCCAGTTGATACGGCCATGTAGCGGCTTCTCCCGTTCGCCGGTAGAGTCGAACTCCGATTGCTGCATATGTCCATTCCTGCAGCCTGGGCGAAACTGTTTCGTTTATCTACGATAGCCCAATGTCGCTTCGTCAACAGCATTCTTGTTAGCAGCCCCATACTGTTCATTCGTTGTAAGTACGCCCCAGCGACTCGAAGACTTATCATGATTGAGTTCCACACAAAGAATCGACGATTCACTCTTTGCGCAGATCACCTCGTCCATTACGTGCGCACTGGGATCCCAAGCACCTGGAACATAGATAATGTGGTGCTGATTCATGACGACTACTCCCATTCTCGGCTTTGAACTCGAAAGCGCGGTGGATCAGCAGTATCACTGGCACCACATGCCGTCTGCATTGCAATGCTCGAGGTAGCACTTGCTGATGAAGCGTTATCACGCTCTACATTACAAACGTTTGACGAAACGCACGCTGATGTTGCCACCCGATATCCAGATGAGACCGTATATTGGTCTGCTGATGATGTGGCTTATGTGGCTTGCCCCATGGGCGCTGCCATGAGCCGAATATACGGGATCAAACGTTGGGGGCGTCACGCACTCGCTTGTCGTCCAAGAGCACCAATGCGATCTTCTGTACGCAAATATGTACATGTTACACGACCATGTATACGACTGCTGACTGATCTTCTTGCCGGGTCATCTCGCAACAAGCTCTTGCCTACTGGCACACACGTTCTGCGGATCTGTCACCAATTTATACAGTAGCGGCGCAGGTTTTTCGGAGTTGGGTCTGTAGCCATACGTCGCGTTCACCAGTTTCTTATGCTTCCGCAACAGTTCATGCTCAGTCACTGTCGAACTGGTTTGACGAGCTGCTCTGATGTAAAGTATCGGGTGGTGTAACGGGGCAGCCCGTTACATGGAAGTGTCACTTTAAGGAAAGTGACAATAAAGAATATGAAGTTGAATATTCTTTGAACAATATCACCGAAGCGGTGATATTGAAGGGTCGACCAAAGAGTCTGTTCATCGGTTGATATCTTGATGATATCAACCCACCAATCGCCGTAAGACGCACGCAATGAGTGGTGGCGAGACGTCACCATACACTCAGTTAGATTAACATAATTAAGTCAGGTTAAACAGAGAGACAGTAGCAAAAAGACTTAGTTATATTAATATAACAGTTAAACTTTCTCCTTATCCTACGCTTCCTCGCTTGCCTTGTGTACGTCTGTCGGGGCACCGATACCCTTGCGTTAAGTTCACGCAAGGGTGTCCCCCGTTACACCTGGTAGCACTTTGTAGTACTTCCAAGGACCACAACATCCAACATGAACATGTTGGATGAAGAAGAGACCTTTCACGCCACGCGTGAAGGGTATACCCATTTGAGTGACATCGAATGGGGTGCGGTAGAACGAATGAGTTCTACCGTAGGCGAGTTCGCCATTAGCGCCATGTTGGAGTCTCTAGACAGAGACCAACAACATGCCGCTATCGCCAAGTTCATCCAAAATGAACTTGTCGCCGAAAGGGAGAAAGTAGCCTTGCTTCACCAGCAAGGCTCTCAACAGGCCGAGCAGTTGAGAGAACTCGGTGCTCAACAGACAGAGCTGTTGAGACAGCAGAAATTCCATGCTGCTGTGGGCGGGACGGCACATGCACGTCGTCCCGAGGTCATGAAGGTTGATATCTCCAAATACAGTGGAGTCCCGGAGGACTCCCTGTTACTATGGTTTGTCGAACTCGACAGAGCCTTTAGGGCTCGTCGCGTCGAAGATGAGCAAATGAAACTCACATTTGCTCAGACCCACTTGGCAGGGCGTGCCAAAACTTGGTCCCTGGGGCTCGAGAGTAGCGAAACAAATGTGTCTAGGTCGCTAGATGACTTCAAGTCCCGGCTCAGACAAACGTTTGAGCCGCCAAGAGCTGAGTTCAGGGCTCGTTCTGAGCTCCTGAAACTCAAGCAGGGTAAGCGTGATGTGCACGCTTACGCACAAGATATACGACTCCTAGCGAGTAGTATAACTGCCAACCCAGTTCATGAACACACGTTGATTACGGTATTCATGCAAGGGCTCGCGGAAGGACCCGTCAGGAGCCATCTGTTCCGCCTTGAACTGAATACGCTTGAAGAAGCGATATCAGCCGCGGAACAGGAAGACTTTAACATGAGACAGGCTCATGCTAGCTCAAACTCTTACCGTCCACCGAGACGACAAGAGATCGGAGGTCCAGAACCAATGGACCTCTGCTATGTTGAGAGCGAGAGACCTCGCTCTTCAAACAGCAATCGATTGCAGAGGTACAATCGCTGTCAGAAGTTAGGGCACTACGCATACGAGTGTAGTGCTCCACGCCCAGTACCAAACAGTACTGAGCGAAATGGACGTCCATTCGCCAGAAAGGGCAATGGGCGTGGGTCCAGCGCTGTTGCGAAGCCGCAACATCGAGACGGACCATCAAAAAATGGTCGGGGTCAGTAGGGGCGGAGTGCCCTACTGATCCAGCAACCTCAAGAGAATTTGCAAATCTCTTGACGAAAGTTGCTACAGATACACAATCAGTGTGTGTCTCTGCACCTGGTGATGACGTTTCGCTCATCACCTTGAAGTTGGAAGCGACAAATGATTTGTCGCTTCGTGCCCTAGTAGACTGTAGGGCGTCAAACAGCTTTGCTCGTGGCCAGTCACTAGAGGGTTGTAGGCTCAAGTTCGTTGAGCGCGACATTCCCCTCACAAGGATGACGGTGCGCCTTGCAACAGGCGCATCGATAACCGTTGAGAAACGTGTAGTCGGAATCCCTTACACGTTGGAGGGCGAATTATTCGATGATGACTTCGTCGTACTAGACCTGGATGACAAATTTGATGTCATCTTGGGATTACCTTGGCTCAGAAAATACGAGCCTAGGGTGAGCTGGCAGCATCGATCCGTGAAGATTCCTGCTACTTGTTCATCAGATGGCCATCTGATGAACATCTTGGAGAGTCCACAAGCGTGTGGGTGTTCTGCGAGTGAGTGCGATGGCCTCACTTGCGGTTCGGTCGTTAGCACGACTGCACAAGATCACAGTGTAGTTGATCACTACACTGTGGAGCAAGCTCCCGGCGGCTGTACAGAAGTACAGGCTGCGCCGAAGGTCCACCACTCGAATAAGTCGAGTGGACCGGGACATGGATGCATGCCTAGCGGGCAGCATCTTAGAAGAAAGAAGTCTGTTGCCCCCAAGGGGCAACATGAAAATCCTAGGTCGACTGGAGAGTCGACCGTAGAGGATCGGTTCCTGACTGTGGTTGCACAGCCACAGTCGGAAGACGTCGAGGGAATAAGTCCCCACGTACTTGAGGAAGAAATTCCTCAAGAGTCGCTTGCTGAGGGATTAGGCCCTCAGCAACCTGTGGAAGCAAGTTCCCAGGAAGAAACCGAGACGTTGAACGTCTTGGTTAATGACGGATCAAGCGTAGGCGCTTATACGCTTGATCTGATTGTGCCTCCGAAGTTGACTTCGGAGATAACTCAGTTGCCAACGCTAGAACCGAAACGGTTCTTGCGTGATCTGCGTAGTGGCAAAGTCACGCAGATCTGCATACTCGTCACAGAGGATGAGTATGTGGCCGATATTCGGTCGGCAACAGTATTTGCTGAGAACGAACGGGTTCTTAGCAGCTCATCGATGGACGAAAGTGTCCTCGATGAGAAGACTCGGATTGAGCG